TTTTTTGCTGTGAAATCTGCAGCCAAACACACGTCAAATTTTGATCTTTATTTCTTGTGTGTGCGCGTGCTTGTGTGTCTATGCTTGTTTAATTCTGCTGCACTGCAGTCAATCGCTTGACGCAACAACAAACACCAACTATGTGCTGTATGCTGACTGACGGCGGACTGCTCTACCGCCACTACCACTACTAAATAGTACACGGAAGTGAGCACAAAAAAAATCCTTCAACTCAACACAAATTTTAGTACAAATAGGTGTGTATGTATGTGTCTCTGTGTATGTATGTATGTATGTATTGGTATCACGTAAGCGCATACAAGCCGCAGGGGGTTTGCTGTCTCGCCAATTCAATGCCTACTTTGTGCCGCGGCGGTCTCAGCTGGCTTGTAGGTGCTTTAAAATGAGCCAATAAGCTGTCGTTCTCCAGCCGCCAGTCGAATCAGCCAAAAGCCAGCTGAAGCGTAATTCAACGAGGATTCTGGAATTACTGTTGTCAGCGCCTACACTGCTGCTATGTACTTTTACTTCTGCCGCCTGGCCGTCACTGCGCCTAAAAGCCTATTCAATTTGGTTGGTGGCTTTGAGTGCGCACACAGATGTATGTATGGATGTGTGTGTACGGTTGCGTGTGCTTGTATGCTAAGTGGAGATGTGTGTTTTGTTTGAGGAGTAGTGTATGCGACGGATATTACCAGCCTTAATTAAGAAGGAGCAGCTCTACTGCGACTGTTGCTGCTCAGTCGCTGGTGCTGCTGTTGCTGCTGCTTTTGAGATTGCTATTTCTGTTGGTCGCACTTCCTTTACCGTTGTCGTTTCACTTAGTTTGTATTTCACGTTCCTCGTCAATCCTCCTCGCTTAAATCCACTCGTTGTATTCAGTATCTGTTCTAAGTATATTCGTATGTGTTCGCGTGTGTGTGTGCAGTTTTGTTTAAACCGCAAAGGCACCTGACTTATTCAAGCCAAATTCTGCGTGTATGAAATTTTTATTACACTCCTTTTTCATAACCAGCTAAGTACTTTTTCCCCCTACTCACTATTATGCACAAAAATGTATGTATTTGCGAGCGACTAACGGTGTTTCCTACCTTCTGTAATATATGTAGGGAAAATATGAAAAATTATACACTTCACCTAAATTAAATGTATTTACTTCACAGTTTTTTTTTTTTCGTCAACTTAGCCTCATTCGCGGGCACTTGTTGTCTGGTATTTAGTAATTTTTTTACTTAGTTGAAGGTCCCGTTTTTTTCATAGTTTTCTTGCGTGCTTTTTGCAATTTTCACAATTTAAGCCCTGTTCGTGCGACACTTTTTATGTTTTTATTATACTACATACATACATATATCTATTTAATATGCGTTGTTTGTTTTAGCATCCCTTCGCATTTTCCATTCAGCTTTCGTAAATTAAACTTCCCTCTACACTCAAGCACAAATACTTATGTACATATTTTTTATATATTTCTTCATTATTTATAATGTGTATGTTTATTATGTTTATGTTTATTATTTATTTATACTCCTATTGCTCTATGAGTTTAATCTGCAATGCTGGTCACGTCGTTGCGAGTATACATCCGTACGCGTTCCCGGTTCTACATCGACTCAGTTGTTGTCTCAGTATTGAGTGTTAGTTAGGCCAAGTCGTGTCCGTCTAGCATCGCATCGTGTACATTTTTTCCATCTACATATAGTACATTAGGGTGCCTCTCATTTGACCTAACAAATTTTTGTTTACCGTTTGTCACGTGTCATACTTTTATTCTATTGTAAGACACCAAAGAACGTTAAGTAATATTTAGGGGTAGGCCCAAGCAAATGAAAAATTAGAAAAGGTATTATTTTTAAAAGGAAATGTTATATTTGGAAATGAGTTGCTTGCTGTCCATTAGCCTCGCTAAAACTCGCGATCTGTTGATGGGGGTTATACGACTATAAACTAAATTTCCAAGAAAAAATCGATACGTTGTCTACCCACATTCATAAAAAATAAGTGAGATTTTAAATGCTTTATAAAACGAAAATTTATATGAAAATCTCACTTTATCAGGCAGGTTTTGCAATCCACTACCGAGTGAATTTCAATCAAATTCGCTTTGAATTCAAATTGGTGGGGGTTGAAATTCACTGGTAAGTCAATTGCAGAACCTGCCTGTATAAAGCTCGTTAAATTTTTATTTTATCTTTTATGAATCAGGCCTTGGGGAAACTGTCTTTCTATCGTCTTTATAACATCTCATTTTAATTTAGTCGGCATGCCAGCTGGTTCCCAGACAAGCCACAACTTCACAAGCGATTAGTTTGCTTCTTTAAGATTTTTTTCGAAAGTTGAAAAATAAGAAGCACCCTAATGCGCATGCTTGCATATGTAGCTTTATATGAGCATCGCAACTCCAAATCGCACAGAAAATGCACATTCTCATTCGTACTCATTATTTGCCTTCGTTTTTGCATTGCCATGTACGCCATAGTGTGCGTAAGAGCGCAATGGTATTTGTATCGCTCCACTGACCTCGTCCTCGTCATAGTTCGTCTTTACTCGGCTTAGGATGAAAATGAGCGCATGAAGGGTTTGAGAATTTTATTTAATCCTGCGGTTGGCCTCTCATCGAGAAAATGCCTTGTTTGAGTTGAAATTCTTAGCTGGCATGTGATGTTTGAGCTGTTGAATATTCACAATTTCTAATTGGGTACTTTACTACAATCCACTGTTGAATAAGAGCATAAAGCGCGATTGCTATGTAGTGGAGTTACTAAGAAAAGTTGTGCAATGATACACCATCTATCCGGTTCCAAGTACTCGATCCTACTTAACCACGGCTAAAATTATCTTGCGACCATACTACAATCATAATGTTTGTTCCATTTAAGTATTCCCCTTCGAACTCAATACAACGTTTTCCTCGATACAAAAGCACTTCCAAAGAGCTTAAAGAGCTGACGAATTCTTTAAATTCTGCCAGGGCTTGTGCGGTCAGTGTAGCTAAGGAAATGTTTTTTTTTCTATAAGCAGCCGCCTTTCGGCAGATAATACAATCCCCCGAACGAATTTCTGCCATAAAGAACTTTTCATAAAAACTATTGGCCTTTCACCGGCGATATAAACCTGCAAGCAAAAATATGGACGCACATACGGCGATGCTGTTTACTATACTTTGGGGGTTTTTCTTTGGGAAAAGGAATGTTAATTCCCCCAAGGCTTTAATTGCGGCCTGGCGAAATAGCATAAATACTTATTTTTTAGGAGTCCCCTTAGGGCTGGTTTCTCCAAATCAATTTTACTTAGTTTAGCCACTTTTCGGACTTAATTCAAAAGTTAGCCTACGTTTTACACAGCTTATTCTTGACTGAGTCAAGAAAATAGGCTTAACTAAGTTATGTTGAGTTGGAGAAACCAGCCCTTAATGACAGAGACTTAAGTCTAGTTGTCATGATCTAGTAACTACAAAAGTTACTTTAAAGTTTGAAGCAATCTATATAGATAGCAATGCTACCATGCGGATAGTAGGCACTCAAATATTTTAAGCATATTATTGATACCACAGAATGCCAATCTTTTGACTGCAGCTTCTTCGTGATAGCGAGAGTATGTATGAATTGAGTTTGCATTCCTTAGCTTAATTTTCACCTGACTCTGGCAGTTTTTCAGGTACATAGTTAAAACATTCAACCTTCTCATTGCCTGTCCATCTGCCTTCATTGTACAAATTTTTCAAAGGATTTTCCGTCAGTAGTTTTTTTTTTTGTTCGCGTGCCAAATGAAATGCGCTTCTGCAAACCCGTACCCAGTTTCGCTTTCGGCAATGGCGCTAAGACCAGGTAGGTGTAGACGTGTCTTTTTAAGGCTTTCTTTTATGTAGCTTTCCTAATGTTTAGGTAATTTTTTTTTTCCTCATGGCAAACTTAATTGTTTGGCGAATATAGAACAGCTCCTGTTCCGTCCTGCAGTTACGAGGCATCTGTAAGATGTTAAAAGCTTTCCGGCTGGGTTTGATGTCACCGGCCCGGAAAAATGTGACCAAAGCATCTTGCGTGAATTCGCCATTGGCCCACATCATTCGCACGGATTTGGGTGTAAGGGCGGCGATTGGCGTTATGCTGAGCATTTTAGATATAGGATGGTTTACGACTTATTTTAAATTTTATTTTAAAAACTACTTCGGGCTTAAAAGAATCGTTTTTTTTTGTATCAAGTAAGTAATTTTCAAACGAGATGTTGGCAAATATACTAGTACTCATTGAGTAGAGATCAAATATGATGAAATGATGATGATGAAAGAAAGTTGCGCTCGCAACCAGAATCTACCCCAAACCAAGCACATGACCCCTAGCAACGTTGAGAAACTGCGGCAGCATTAATAATGCATACCGAAACACTGAGTGAATTAATGAGAAAATGGAAGCAAAACACTGACCGCGAATGGATGTCTATATGTATGTTATTCGATATCAAAATATTTGTATTTGTCTACACTTTTGGATAAAGCAACTACTTATGCAGAAACGTTTGCTTATGTCTTGAACCCGAAAAGTGGAAGTCAATCCACAATTTCTCTCAGTTCTCCTTTTATGCAATTGTGGTAGTGAATAAACAAACGTATGTGAGCGAAAGCTTGTGTATATAAATACGTATTTATGTACATTAGGCCGTACCACCTTGCAAGCAAATACACAAAAATTGTGTTTTTATTACCTCCCTTTTATTAGCTCGGGATGTAACTATGTAATATTGATGCGCCTAAATGATGCAGCGATTTCTATTCTCAAGTTACATACATACCTGATGACAGTACGAATGGAAATTATAATAGCGAGGTTTAAGTTTTTTAAACTATAATTTTATTTTACAAATTATCCAGTAACTTGCCAGCAACTCTCCAGTAACTTTATTTCTAAGAATTCGCTCTCATAGAAAAGTTTGCAATAAAGTACGTGAACGCTTTTCCAGTAATAATTTGCAAGTTTCATGAACAGTTGATAAATTGTTTGTTTATTCGCAGCCAATTCCTGATAAAACGGTATATTTTGTATTTAAATAGGTTTATTTTGTAAAATTCAACAATAAAAACCCACAAACAGTTTTCTTTATTAGTTTAAATTTCATCCAGAAACATGCGATCAGCTTTTTTTCGTACTGGCAAATTCTTACAAGTAAAAATTTATCCAGTAAAATCCAGTAAAAACTTGCAACTTCAACTGTCATTTTTCGCTCTCTCAATTTCCCCTACTTTGCAAGTTTTTGCGTACGAAAACGCCAAAACATGAAAATTTGTAAAAACTTTTACTGGATTTTACTGGAAATGAGTAAAAAAAACGCAACTAAAGTTTGCCCAACACCCCTGATTCTCTAGTAAGGCAATTTGGATTTTTTGTTTTGCCGAACCTGAATTCTTTTTTGAAACGAATTCTGAAATAGGGCGTCCTTAAATAAAATTCTGAGAAAGGGCGTTGTTGAAAAGTCTTCTGAGATAGGGCGTTTTCGAACTGACTGCCGAGATAGGTCGATCTTCCACTCAGCCGTCGATATACATACATATACATATGTATGTACATATAAAACTATCAATACTAATTTCGGAAATGTGCAATACAAATATTTACTCATTTGCTTTTATTTTTAAATGCAAGAGATTATTCTGTAACATTTGAAGGCAACTGTCAATTCAGAAACCGACGAAAAGAAAAACGCTATTTTTGTTGTTGTTGTAGCGGCTACAACAACCCCGCCCAGATCGGCTGATATCTCAGTCGTTGACGTCGAGTTCCACTAACGGCAGCCCCAAGAAGCGTGCAGCCTCTATGGGGTCGGTCCACAGGGACGTATCCGTTAGGGTTGTGGGGTTTTCGGGGCATGCGAAGAGATGTTTCGATTCGTGAGGGGTCTCTCCACATGCCGGACATTCGTTCGGCACATCCACATTTAGCCTACTCAGGTAGGAGTTTAGCCTGCTGCAGTAGCCAGAGCGAAGTTGGGCTATTGTTGTTCTGGTCTCCCGAGGCCGATGTTGCTCCGTCGCGTCAATGTCGCTCTTATCGCTTTCTTCGCTGTCCCCTTCACTATGTGTTGCCACATTGAAAAACAAAGGTTTGTTTTTGTCGCTATTATCCGAAAATGTTTTGTCGCGTTACTGTGTTATTTGCCTAAGGTGCATGGCGAACTTTATTTTCCGGTACAGTCTAATGTACATATATACATATGTATCTACCAATGCAAATACTCATTGGAATTTCCTCCAGAGCATTTTGTCCTGCTCTTTGCATACTTATACACTTTTCCCAATGAATTACGATAGTTAAAAATTTTGTGTATGGCTATGGGGAATGCGCAACTGGTCATAAAATTTGACACTACTTTTCTCATGCATGCATATGTAAATATGTATGTACATATGTGAGTATAATCCGCAACAATAACAGCAAACAGAAATAAACGATTTAAGCAAATCTAAGAAATGCGAAGAGGCTTGTCCGAAAAATAACGCTTCAAACTATAGTACATATGTTGTTGGTAAAACACACACTTTTTACGTGCTTATGAAAAGTTAATTTAGGTGCACTAAACTTTAATTAATTTCTTATTTTCACTCACAATTTTCACAAACTTAATCACAAGTATTCACTAAACACCCAGCCACCGCTGCTATTCAACAAAAACTGTGCCAAACAGCTGATGCCTGTCAACGAACGTGGACACATAAGGAGTGGATGTTAAAGTTTGAAAGCTGTGGAAGATATTGTGCCAGAAGCATGGCGCACGAAAAAGCTTGCATACTATTAGGCTG